GTGTGTTGTATGTGGGTGAGTGTGTTGTATGTGGGTGAGTGTGTGTGAGTGTGTGTGTGTGTGGGGTGTGAGTGAGTGGGGGTGTGTGTGGAGGGTGTTGTGTGTGTGTGTGGTGTGTGGGTGGGGTGGGAGGAGAAGACAGGGTACATGTTACTTGCAATTATACAAGAAAAAGTATTTTAAAACACCAACTATGCATTCTGCTTTGAGCAGATGGTCTATGAACCTATTTTCAGCCAGCTGTTTAGTTGTACTATATTTTTAAATCTTATTTATTGCAGTTTCTTAATAATATGCCTTATTGGTAGCATTTACTAAACATCCCTGAAATATTTTGTCAAAATTCAAATTTCAAATATTGACAAAAGCAAAAAAAAAAAGTGTTTAAATACACAACATTTTGTTAAAAAATTAAAAGTTTTGTCACCCTTCTGAAAAAAATTTGCTCTCTCAAATGGGGACATTTGAACACCTTGCCACGGTTACGTTTAGACGGAAAAGCTAATAAGAAATAATAAAGTTGAGAATCTTTTTGCTTCAGAGACTAACAATTCAACTCTCACTCTTGTATTAGTTTGAGACTGGTCAAATCTGAGATGGATGCTAAATTTGGATACTTCTTAAATGACCGTAACATTGTTTATACGTGAATGAACCCCATCTCCCCCCTCCAAAAAAAACAACCAAACTCAAAATGGTAGAAAAGTGTCGGCTTGCTCACCTTGGCGGCAAACTCGTTCTTGCAGCGGTGGAAACAGTTCATGGCGTCTTCTAGTAGTTTAGCTCTCTCCTCAAGGTGCTGGGGACCAAGAGTAAAGATGAGGAAAGAAAAACGGCAGTTCCCCCTATGTTGTTCCAGCACAGTATGAGCATGACATTGATAAATCAGCCCATTAACAAGTCTACTGTGAATATGAACAGGTTAACATCCCCCCTTTGGGAATGGCCTAAAGACACTTCAGTTAGTGGTATTGCCATGGGGGTGCAAAAATGCATGTTAACACTCACACAACAACAACAACAACAATAACAACAACACCACCACCAACAACAGCAGAGGACTCACTTCCAGTGAGTAACTACATATAACTTTACAGTTTCCCTCCTCGAGAGAGTTGTCTCTCCCCTACACACACACACACACACACACACACACACACACACACACACACACAAACAACGATGTTCGGATTGAGGATTGCTGATAGCGCAGTAGGTATTTTGCTAGGCAGCATTGCTGGGGGTTCTTGAACCTATATTGTTTCAGCAGGGAGGTTTTAGGGCTTTGCAACAAACAGACCTAGTCATATCGGAGATAGACGTTAAATTTGGAGCCCTTCCAGTCTGTTAGATTACTGCACAGTGTTTATAGGGGCTTAGATTTAATACCTCAAGGTAGCATGGCAGTACTGGAATCGTGTTCGTGTCTGAATAGTCACAGTCAGGGCTTTCAATGTCAGTTTGGAGCCAAATCCCAGAAATTAGGCTCTTCTGGATCGCGACTGGCCCGGAGAATTTCGTTTGTCTCTCTGGCTCTCTTTTTGGCTCCAAACTTCAATTAATATTAATGAAGAAGGGGAAAGGACAAGCAAGAAAAAAAGAAAGAAAAAGAGAGAATAAAAGAAACAAAAATGAAAGTGAAGAAAAGAGCTTGGATTGTTTGATTATTAAACTAGTTAACACAATTTAACCCCCAATTTGGTCTGAATAATTTACAACCCTTCTACTGTCGTGCAAGAGCATTAGAATCTAGTCTCGTGCTCGTGTTTCGTTTCGTTCGTACACGCTCTCTATTCATTGAACCATAATGTATTGTGTGCAGAGAGGCCAGCCATCACTGTAGATCTATATCACTGTCGATGTCCGTGGGGGGGGGTTCGAGTCATGAGGATTCATACCAGAGGTGAGAATATAGGTGGGTCTCATAAAATGTCTCTCACGTCAGTGGTTACCGGAAAATAAAACAAAGGAACATAAACGTTCTGATTCTCTTCTTTGTGATGACGGAATGTTTCCCTGGCACGTATTCTTTGTTTTAGCGGCATATCCGAGTAAGAATGACATCACGGAAAACTTCCTTGAATCAGTTCCTACTGTCTACAGCCAGCTGTTTCCAGCACTTATTGACGTGATGGCTACGTTTATTGGTTCATGGACATGACGTACACTCGAATCAAAGACCGTGCATACCATGGTCTTTGCTCGAATTAGCTGAAACGCCACCTGTATAAGAAAACACCTGTACTAATGGCCACTTGCCATTCCCCCCGTGATTTTTTTGGTTTTTGTTGTTATAATGACACTGTATAAAAGGTCCACTTGTCTAAAACGACCACTATTCTCCTAGACAATGGGTGGCCTTCTCAAAAAATTTTGACGGTACGAGTATTTGTATTCCTCTTACTGTCTTCTCGTTGGTTCTTGTGTTCTTTAGGCCTTTATCATTCCTCCCATTTCTTAGCTTCCATATTGTAGTCTTTGATGTAATATGAAAATAACAACGTTCAACTCGACCCAGGAGAAGACAATATCACTATCTTGGTACTTCTTCAAAAATTGGTGATTTAATAGACTACTAAAAAATCTTTCTTCAAAGTTTTGTTTTGGACACTAACGTTTGCTCCAAGACAAAGATATTAAACGGTTTGTTTGAAAGATGAAGACCTATGGACATGAATATCAGATCAATTCCAAGTGCACCGTCGAAGGACGAAACTGAAAGGACTAAAATTAAAACGTTCATTAAATTTTTTAGCATATTCCTTGAAAAGCATCGTCCGGGATCAGCGTGTAACAATACAAATAACGACACTTTTGTTGAGGAAGACAGTTTCTATTTCATTTTCATGTATCAAATAGAAGTATACTTTTGAAAAAGTATATTTATACTTTCTCCTTACACTAGGGTCGCTACCCTAGAATTTTCAAAGTTCTATCTCCTCAGTACCTAGTTTTTAGAAATTTGACGTAAAAATGTTGAGTTTCACAACATATCAAGTTTTTTCGAATGCAATTTTTGTTGAATATCTTGACAACGACACAGGACAAACTTACAAATTTGATAGAGTAGATACAACAATTGGTTTCTGATCTCGTGGTCCTAGTAAAACAAACGGCCAAAAATGTCAGATAGCACGTTGTAATTCTAAAGTAGTG